TACCATAGCTGGATAGACACCCATCCGTGAATTCTCAGACGTCTAAGACAGTTGTATATTGACCCACAAGCTCTTTATACAATCCCCATTTACTCCAATTCAACGCCGCCGCCGTCATAACTCCTCATGCACATGCTCCCCGTTGGCAGCAGCAGCCCCAGCCCCCGGCTGTTCGGGCCTCCCGCTGTCCTTTTGCAAATCCACCCCCTTCTTTGCCCGCCACTTCTGGAACAGCGCCCACAGCTCCTTTTCCATGCCGCTCTCCATCTGGTCGGGCAACACCACGGTATACTCGACGTACAAGTTCCCAAACTCGGTCTTGTGGTACACGTCGTCGCCGTCCTCGTGCCACTTGGGCATGCCCTCCCCCGGGACGGTCTCGACGTGGTTGGGCTGCACCACCTCGCCGCGCTTGCGGCCCAGGCGCACGACGTGGCCGTCGAGGTGCGTCAGGTTGCGCGTCCAGTCGCCCATGAGCGCCTCGCGCAGCGAGAGCACCTCGCGCCAAAACAGGTCGTCGCCCTTGCGCCGGAAGAAGACGCCGTCGACGCGGTCCGGGTTGTCTTCGTCTAGGGAAGGGGGCTTCTCGTTGAGCTCGACAATCAGGTCACCCGCGACCCAGTCCGGGCTGGCGTCAGCCTCGTTCTCGTAGGCGATGCGCGTGCCGGGAGCCATCCCCCGCTGGATGGTCAGCGAGACTGTTGTCGGCTTGCGCACGACGCGCTCGCCCTGGCAGACGGGACAGCGGTGCTTGATGGTCTTCCCGCGCCCGCCGCACGCGTCGCACTGCATCTGCACGTGCGTGATCATGCCGGGCGCAAACTGGGAGCGCACCATGCGGCTGCCTTTGCCGCCGCAGACGTGGCACGTGTCGACGACGCCGTCGGCGGCGCCGGTCCCGCCGCACTCCTCGCAGATCTGCTGCTTGTCCCACTGGAATTCGGTCGTGTGGCCGTTGTAAAAGTCACGCAGCGAGATGGAGACTTTCACCTCGACGTTGTGGCCCCGGCGCTGGCCCTGGCTGCCAAAGTGGCCGCCGCCGCCAAAGAAGCGGCTAAACAGGTCGAACGGGTCGTGCGTCTGGAACCCCCCGCCCTGCTTGTGCTGCTTCAGCCCTTCGTGGCCGTACTGGTCGTAGATCTGCCGGCTCCGGGCATCGCTCAGCGCCTCGTAGGCTTCGGAGACTTGGACGAACTTCTCGTGGGCTGTCGAATCGTTCCTGAAAGTCGGGGGGTTAGTGGCGTCGCGGCGGGCCAGGGGACAGAAGGACCCACGGATTCTTGTCAGGGTGGTATTTCTTGCTTAGTTTCCTGTAGGCCGACTTGATCTGCTTGTCGCTGGCTTGTTTGTCGATGCCGAGGACCTGGACGAGGTAGTCATGTCAGCTCACGCTCACGGTGTAAGGCAAGCGAATAAGGAGGATCCGGTCGCACTTTGTAGTAGTCCTCGGCGCAATAGGCAAACTGCGCCAATGCCAACAGAGGTAGTAAAATAGCCTTGCAGAACCTCATGATGCCCGTCCGTCTCGAGCTGGGCCGCTACGGCCAAGCTGTCCACTTGCGATCTTCAGATGTCAATTGCTTGCGACGGAGTGCGCCGCGACAAAATGTAAATATAGTACGAAGTAGGTCAATGTAATCACAAAGGAGCGACGAGGTTTGCAAAGACGAGAATTGACGGGGCGGCGGACGAGGACGAGGACGAGGACGAGCCAACAAAGCGTCGTTTGCTGGTTAGGAAAGGCGATTGGGAAGCAGACTTACACGCAAACCATACCAGCCCGCCTTCACAAGCAACACTCCAGGACTCGAGAAGTAGCAACCAGCCAGCGTGGCCCTATCGTGGTATTTCGATTGGTTACCAGCGGTCTCCGCAAATGCCAAGGAATCTTATCAATTGACTTGGTTGTATCAGTATCTGCTGATTACCCTAACCCTCCTTTACCTCCGGTTGCCCTCTCCAATCCACAAACATCTACCCCTGACCAATCCGGTAGTCGATCACTTACACACGGGAGTTGACGGGACCGAGTCGAGCCTTGGAGCGAGTATATATACTGGCAAAGCCCTGCCCCTATCCTTCTTTCCCTTCCCCTGCCATTTCTTCTCCGTCTTTCTCCTCCCAGCATCTCATCTCTTCCCAAGATTTCCCCTTCCCCTGAGCAAGTCTCCGTGACTCCACAACTATCCTCCTCCCATTGTCCAAACTCTCCGACCAGGAAAATGGCAAACTCCTCCTCACCAACACCACCACCGCCGCAGCAGCAACAGCAGCAACAACAACAATCCCTCATCTCCCGCATCACCACCCCCCTCATCTTCTTCACCTACCCCTGGCGATTCATGTTCCTCTCCCTCTCCTTCCTTCCCAGCACCATCCTCTCCCTCCTCACCACCTTCAACCTCACCCCGCTCTTCTCCTGGAATCAGTTCCAACCCCTCTGGTTCGGCCGCTTCTGGGCCCACGCAGGACCTCTCGTCCGCCAAGAAGCCGAAGAAAACGTCGTGCCCCTTTTAGCAGGGCACATCTCACACGGCCAGCTCCTCCCCGCACCAGCCCACCCCGCCTTATCAGGCACCGTTCTCGAGATCGGCCCCGGATCAGGCATGTGGGTGTCACTCTTCTCACCTACAACCACAGCGGGCCAGGGCCAAGTGCGACGCATCTACGGGGTCGAGCCCAACGCGGCCGTGCACGGGCTGCTGCAGAGTCAAATCGATGCCGCGGGCCTGCGCGACGTCTACGAGATTGTGCCTGTGGGGATTCAGGATTTGGCCAGGTTCGGCCGTGTTGAAAGGGGGAGTGTTGATTGTATTGTGACGGTGCTTTGTCTCTGCAGTATTCCCGATCCAAAGGCGAATATTGCTGAGTTGTATGGCTATCTCAAGCCTGGGGGGCGATGGTATGTCTACGAGCACGTCAGGTGCTGGCGCTCACAAGGCTGGTGGATGCGGTTCTATCAAGGTTGGTTTCTTTCAACTCCCTTGGACCAAGGCTTCGATTGCTGACTGTGACTTATTAGCTTTCCTGAACTACTTTTGGCCGCTCTGCATCGGAGGCTGTCAAATGTGCCGCGACACGTCAACGTGGCTCAGGGAGGCCGGCCCGTGGACTGACATCGATCTCGCTTCGCCGCCCAAGGAGGAGTGGTACTTTACCATGCCTCATATCATTGGCGTTTTGACTAAATAAAGTTAATAAACCCGCTGCCATCTCTAGAGGACCCTCAATGGCACTCAGCTGTTCAAGTGATCCAATCATAGGATCCATAGCTTCTGAAAATCCCGTCTTGGGATCATGTCAATTGTTGACTCTGGGTCGGTCTGGCTATCTACACCCTAACTCTCTGCCTCTATCCATCCCGCCCTGTTCACAAAAGACAAAGCTTTCAGAAATTGACAGCCCAAAGATCATCGACCAGGTAGATGATGCATGGCTCGCCAAAGACCAAAGATTCGCACAACTCTCCCAAAAGATAGCCAGCCAGTGTTCCTAAGTATCCATCTACCAACCGCCTTCGGCGCTGTCGACCGGAGCAGGGGCCCAGTCACCATCACCGCCATTGGCAGTCGGCGAAGAAGCCCAGCCGCTGGTATCGCCAGTCGTGAAATTGTCATTGTGGCCGGCGCCATTTTCAAAGCCCTCGTCGCCTTCACCTTCAGGAGCAGGGTTCGGGCACTTCGATGCGTAATGGCCAAACTGCTGGCAATTGTTGCACTTGACGCGGTCCACTGTCGAGCGGTTAGCATACGGCCGTCGACCTCGACGAAATAAAACTCACTGTTGCGAGGTTGAGGGCATTCCTTGCTCATGTGTCCGTATTCGTCACAGTTACGGCATTGGATGTTGGCAACGTTAACAGGCTCAGTGCAATCGCGGGCTAGGTGTCCCTCCTGTCCACAGTTGCGACATCCACGGTTGCCACCACCCGTGGGGCAGTCGCGGGCCATATGGCCAACTTGAGCCTGTTAGCACCTACAGTAGTTCGCGAGCTAGATGGAAGAACAATCAACCTACCCTCATTACACTTGCGGCATTCAACCTCTGGCTTGTCAGGGCAATCGATAGCTTGATGTCCGGATTTGCTGCGGAAATGTTAACTCTCTTCCTACATATCGACGAACTAGGACTCACCCGCAAGTCTTGCAAGCCCATTTGTCAATGCGAGGCATCGGACCTGTGCTGTTAGCTACATGTTTTCAACAGACCGGCAATGGACAACTCACAATCGCGCACGCGATGGCCGGTCTGGTCGCAGTTGTAGCACTTGATGTCCTGGACGACGACGTCCCTTTTCTCCTGTTTACAGTGCTTGGCGATATGACCGAGCTCATTGCAGTTTCTGCACTTGGGCAGGCTTCCAGCAGTAACCTCTCCGGCATCCTTCAGTCGCTCAATGTTCTCATCCATGTCGTTGGGCCAGAGCTCACGATCGCGCGGGCGGGGTGGGTTCCACTGGAAGCGATACGTGACGGTATACTTCTTGCCCAGGTTTCCCTGGAGATCCATGTTGGTGAGGGTCGCAGCCAGGGATGGCTTCTCGATGGCGATAAGCCACAGCCCAATGTCCTGAGCGCGGAAGGCTTCCTCCAGCTCCGAATACGTCGTCTCGGGCAACGACTTGACGTAGATCTGGATGGCTTCCTTGATGTCATCAATGTCGCGCTCCTCCACAGCGCGCTTGATCATGTCCCAGGCCTCCTCGGGGGTCTTGTCGGGGAGGTGGCTGCGGTCGATCTTGCGAGCAGCCTCGCACTTGCTCGCCGTGTGGCCTAGGGTTTGCCAAATGATCAGTATCTTCCCTTGCAGCGAAACGTCAGAAAGGGTATACTTACCTTCCTCGCCGCAATTCTTGCATGTGGGGAGGACCACAGGCTCCGGACACTCCTGCTTCACATGTCTGCAGCCTCGTCTCAGCCACGCTCCGGTCATCAACAAATACAATAGACAAAGAGTCTTACCCAGCCTCGCCGCAGTTGAAACACTTGCGCTCGACGATCGGTTTCTCGCAATCGGCCTTGTTGTGTCTACAGCGTCATTTCAGCTACGCTTTGGTCATCGACAGATACAAGGATGGGAGTGTCTTACCCAGGCTCACCGCAATTGTAGCACTTGCGGTCATTGATTGGCTTCTCGCCGGCATCTTCAAAGTTGTCGTGGGCAGTGTCCATGGCGGCACCGAAATCGTCATTGAAGCCATGATTGCCATCATTGGCAGTGTCACCGTTGCCCCAAGGCATCGTGCCAGTGTCAGTGGTACCCCAGCCGGGGTCGTTGTTGTTCCAGTCGGACATTTTGAGCTTTTGGGAGACGTCTGATACCGGTAGGTCAGCAAGAAACCCAGAAGAAAACGAAGGAGGACCTGTGAGGTGAAGAAAGCAGTGATATGACCGAAAAAAAGGAGCATGACAGAGGATAGATGCCGTGTTTCGATCGATTCTTCTGTTCTTCCGCTCAAGAAACGACTCGTCTGCCTACCCGTGGGAAGAAGGAAGGGAAGGGAGGGAAGGATGCCGTGTTTGGTCGATTCTGCGACTTAAAAACGACTCGACTGCGTCTGCTCATGAAAGGAAAGAAGAAGAGGAAAGGAAAGAGGCGGCATCAGCACCCGAATCTCCTTACCTTTCCGAGGAGATGGAAAGAGAGCGAGCTCCAGGCTGATGGAAATTCGATCAACAAATATTTTCCTCTGCGAGCCGCGCTTGCGGCGGTGATGATGGGCAATGGAAGTAGAGAACAATGGCACTGATGCTGGCGACGGAGAAGAAGAAGACTCGCTTACCTGTTGGAGATGACGCGATACTTCAAGCTGGAAGCTGCAGTACAAGGTCCCAGAGTTGTTGGAGGAAAAGATCTGGGGAGGAAAGGTAACGAGAAGGGGGCTTAGTCGTGATCATTCGCCGAGCTTTTCGTCGATGCCTGTCGATACCCAAAGTCGGGAAGGAGCATGCGGGTCAGGCACAAGGGCCATAGTCGACACGTCGACGGGAAGGCGCAAGCGGGTAGGCCGGTAGTATCTTATTCATCACAAAAAGAGAACGCAGCATCACGACGTTGATGGCGATGTCTTGGGATGGTGGTGATGTTCTGTCGCAGGTTGACAAGGGCTGACAAGGGGAAAAGGGGTAATATTATGTCAACATTCATTCAGGGGTGACAATGAGAGTCCGTGTGAGGACGTTTGTTGCACGGACACTTCCAACCCATCTGCTGCGGTGGTTCTTAGGCTCTTTCTAAGGGTTCTTCTACGGAGTAATGTGGGATTTACAGTCAATGAATCCCGGAGACTTGCGCTGGCTAGAAGCAGGAGCATAATGATTAGAGATGGCCTTATGTTCCAGTGAGGACTTGGTGAATTGGGAGGGCTTGCCATGATCAACAAAAGCTTCAACACAGGATCCCTGAGGTAACTGGAACTGCGCGCCAACATATGCGGTGGTGGTGACTTAGACTTGTTTGTATATGAGGCTGGTAGAGCTTGAGTTAACACTTTCAATTCACATGGATGCAGCAGTCAACTGGAGAACCGGCGCTTGAAATTGAGACCCAGGCCAACTGCCATGATGAATGTCGAAAAGAGGGAGCGTGGCACGATTCTTGCAGCGGACAGACCACTTGGGAAGGATTCTGGAATGATGCTGGACACCTCGCCCCTTTGAGTACGCGTAACTCAGCTTGAAGTCGTTGCGACGCACAGTGTGTACTGTGCTAAGCCAACGAAAACTCCGACGTCCCCTGATCGCTGAGTCGGCCCCGCTTGCCAAGGGACGCTCCTGTCAAACGTGAATATCTTGCCCGAGCCAAACCTTTGGCCTCCGTCAAATTCTAGGCCAGTTCAGAAATCGCCATGGCTCGCACGGCGTCAGCGACGGCCAACGGCCGCTCCCAGGCAAAGGAACCCGCCGTAAATGGCAATTCCTGTTCCGACGGCGCCGCTGCCGACCCTGACGACGCAAAGTATCGCGACTTCTTCTGGACCTATACCGAGGAGCCGCACCGCACAAGACGGCTAGCCATCATCAAGGCGCACCCAGAAGTGAGTCGGGCCTATTGTTGCGATTATCCTTGGCCGAATTGATCTGACCAGCTCCCCTCCAGGTCACCAAACTCTGCGGCCCTGAGCCTCTGACAAAATATGTTGTTGCTGGTGTTGTCGCTTTACAAGTATTGCTCGCCCACCTCCTGCGGGACACACCCTTTTGGTCATGGAAGTTTTGGGCCGTCGCCTACGTCTTCGGCGCTACGTCGAACCAGAACCTCTTCCTGGCCATTCACGAGATCTCCCACAATCTCGCTTTCAGGTCACCGCTGGCCAACAGGCTCTTCGCCGTGTTTGCCAATCTGCCCATTGGCGTCCCTTACAGCGCCTCGTTCCGAGTATGTCACACCCACAGTTTACTAGCTATGGGATATCTGACCTGACACTGACATGTGCGCTAGCCCTACCACCTCACCCACCACAAGTCCCTCGGCGTCGATGGGCTAGACACGGACCTCCCCACCGCGCTCGAGGCCGTCTTCTTGGACTCGATCCTCGGCAAGGCGTTTTTCTGCACCTTCCAAATCTTCTTCTATGCCATCCGGCCCATGACAGTCTACCGCGTCCCCTTCACCTGGGTGCACTGGCTCAACCTTAGCGTCCAGCTTGGCTTTGACTACGTGCTCGTGTTCCTTCTCCCGGGCTACTTCGGCGTCAACTCCCTGCTGTATCTCCTGCTCTCCTCCTTCCTTGCCGGTTCCCTACACCCCACGGCGGGCCACTTCATCGCCGAGCACTACGTCTACGAGACAGTCACCCCGACGGCCCGCGACCCAAAGAACAGCATCCCCATACCGGAAACGTTCAGCTACTACGGCCCGCTGAATTTGCTTACCTACAATGTTGGGCTGCACAACGAGCATCACGATTTCCCCGCCATTCCATGGACGCGGCTACCCGTGCTGCACGACATGGCCAAGGAGTTCTACGACGATTTGCCTCAGCACCGGAGCTGGACCTATGTGCTTTGGCGCTTCATCTTTGACGAGCAGGTTGGCCTGAGGTGCCGGGTGAAGCGCAAGCAAGGAGGCCGTGTCGTGGGCGGCGGGACCGTCGTGGCAAGAGTTGCTGACTGGAAGGAGAATGAGATCGAGGCTTAGACGGGTGGGAAGCTGCGGTAAATCTTTTTTTGGCTGAGCTCTCAGATACCCCTTAGATTTGGCATCTTGGGAGGGGCGCCCCGAGTTTTGGATTAGATAATCGTATATAATGTTGACTGCGTTCTGGTAAATAAACATCAACGCTAACTATGCGCCCATATCACCACCACCGTAGCAGTAATAATGGCACTTCTCTAAGACAGCAATGGCAGTAGGAATCTTGAATTCATTCTCGTCCACCATTCACACCATTTTAAAAGACACTAGACACATAAACAGTACGCTTAAAGTTCAACCATATCGTAACAATCATCAGACCAAGTCTCTCTTCCGCTTCATAGCACATGAGGCTCATCGTACCTGTCCTTTTTTACTCCAGCCCGAAACACCGTAAAACAACAAATATAGGCGGATATACAAGTAGAGAGGCGGGTGATAGGCGTGAGAATAGACAGATAATAATCTAGACAGAATGATAAATAACCGGCGGGAAGACGGGAAGCGAAGAGGGTCTGTCTGGTGCTGCCCTGCCTTCTTCATCCGCTTCAAGTTGTCAGCCCGACCGACCCCCTTCGCCTCGACCACAACAATCTGTCCAAAACAACAACAACAACAACACCTGTCTGAATCTCCCGCTAGCATCCCCAACCAACCTTGAAGGTGGTAGCTACCATTCCATTCCCCGATCCTGACCCGCTGGGAAAAGAAAGCCCCTTCTCTTCTCGAGTGCCCATCCATTCCATTCCATTCCATTCCCTCACTTGTATCACATCACGATAACCATTCCAGCTTTGAGGGTCTTTGCAAAAACTATAGTACAAGTACCAACATACCCATACCAAACCGGACCTACAATAGGTAGAAAAAGACGAGTACAAACAGATCCCAGCCAACGGGAACTGACGGGGTAGCTGGATAGGTTATCAATACCGGGTTACCCCTAGATAGGTACATCTCTTTTGATCAGAATTTCAAAGAAAGCTGGTTGAGCAGAAGGACTCCCAGCAGAAGGGGGTAGGTAGGGACACGCCCTACCCCATAGCAAACAAGTACACCTGAACCGCCGCCATCACCCAAGGTATTCAGTCCTAAGTGACCTGGTGAAGAGGTGAAGGAGCTAGATAACGGAATATCATAAAGCAAGAACTCGCTTCTTGTCTGTCTTCAGCTCTTTATAACATAAAATAAAATAAAGAAAGACACATAATTTTACCCAATCCCAACCTGGACCCAAGCCCAACCCGAATCCCAATCCCAACGCCAGCAAGACCAGCACTTGCTCCTTGCTCCTTGCTCCAGCACCTACTGTACTGTACTGCACTCCAGATTCCATTCCGATCATCATCATCAACCCAGCAAAGTGGGAATAAAAGAAACTTCTTTTTGTTTGTCCATTCCATAATGCCATAACCTAGTTGCCATGCATGCAAAAGGGTGGAGGAGATAGGAAGCAACAATAGAGAAAAGAGGCAAAGAACGCTCATTGACTTGACTGTACAGAGAATAACCCCCCCAACCAGCAGCAATCCCCACCACTCCTGGCGCAGCCCAACCCAAACCCCAACCCAACCCGACCCTGACCCCAGCCGATCCGGGGCAAAAAGCAAAGCAGCAGCAAACCGACCCAATTCCCGGTATCTTTAACAACCAGGGGCAGGTGAAGAAAGCCCAATCGCCGTTTCAGACAAAGGAAAAGGATCCTCTAGTCGCAGGACGCACGCGGGAGCGGAAAGAAATAGAAAAAAGGAGGGGATATCATGCCCGTGCTTCATGAATGAATAGCTAAGTCTTATGCATCAATCGCCAAAGAAATCTTAACCTGCCCGTCGCCTCCACCTCCAGCCGCAGGCTCAGTTGAGTTGGGCTTGATAGCCGGGTCGTTGGCCGCGTTAGGCTTGACGGTGGTCCTGCCGGTAATAGATGCGGTGCGCACGCGCTGGCTGAGAGGGAGGGTGTACTTGAGCACGCCCTTGAGGATGAGCTGGAACTCGTCCTCGAGGATGCGCTCCCACCGCTCCGGCCCGCCGTAGGTGCCGTTGCCGGGGTTCTTGAGGCGGACCTCGCCGCTCGAGTACGAGATGCCCTTGTGGAAGAAGGAACCCTCAAACGACAGGGCGCTGTCGAACCCGGTGATCGTGCCCAGCCGCATGTTAGGCGCCGTATCCGGGTCGTCGGGCAGAGCCTCCTGCGTCTCGATGCCGCCCTCCCCTATCTTGCGGGGCGGCGGCGGTCCCACCTCGCCTGGATGCGTGTGCCGCCACCACTCCGAGTCGGTGCCGGCGTGGGGCGACTTTGCAAAGACCTCGATGTCGGCGGCATCCACCACGACGACAACGACGTTGGGGTTGTGCGCTTTGATTGTGAGATCGAGCATCAGTTCCTGCTGGCTCGCGACGACGTGGTCCATAGACATGAGTTGGATATCCGTGAGGGGTTGCGACGTCGCAAACATAAATCCAATAGCGCCGGAAACCACCAGCAAGAGCATCACAGTTAATACGAGGCAGCTCGCAAACCGATTGAGGACCGAGGGCGGCGAGCGGTATGTCTGCGACTCCATAGAGCGCAACGAGTGCATACCCCTCCGCGCCCTTCCTGGCCGTGGTGACCGTATCGTTGCAGACTGCATCAGAGGCGTTGTCTCGTCGTCAGCGCCGGTCGTTGTATCGTCGAGATCGTAACCCGCCGAGAGATGGGTCCCCCTCTTGCCGTTTGCCGGGTGACCGCGGTTGGCGTACCGAGGGCTTGGAGGGCCCGAGGATTGCCGAGAACCCATGTTTCCCGCGGCGAGCGATGCGCTGAAGGGCGAGTGTTCGGCGAACAAGGAAGGGTGGCCGTTGCCGACTCCGTTGCGGCCCCAGCGACCAAAATGATGATGGTGTCGCGAAGTTCCTCGGGCGGAACCGGCATTGCTTCTCCCGGTGCCCTTACCCTCGTCTTCCACAATGACATTGTCATTAGGCCCGTTGCTGTTGGATGAGTTCACAAACTTCATGCTTTTCTTGACCATCATTGGCGGGCCAGCGCTCTCCATCACGGCATGGATCGAACGCATGCCGCTGCGGTCGATCTGGCTAGCCATCGAGGTAGCGCTCGGCGTCCGCGAGTGGAATCTCGGGGCTCGGTCGCGGCCATCTGGAGGGTTAGAATCGTAGACAAACGTTTCCTCGGAATCCGTCGAGTTAGCTTCCTCCACAGCGCTCGCAACCTTCGCTTCGAAGATGTCGGCTTTGGAGGATGCTACGCGATGTCTAGTCAGTAAGGTGCTCATCTGATATATGTGCAAGCTCTGTCTCCGGGCATTTGCCCAGCGGAAACACGTGTATGCTGCATCATCAAGGTGGTCGTAGTGTTTCGTGGGTGAAACAGACGACTCAGTCACCGAAAAGACTGATCCCATAGACTGATGATGGCGCAATCTGGGATGAAAAGTAGCTGAAGATGGTTGCTCACCATTGCCGGCCGTCACGGTCGGCTGCTTCCGTGTCGACCTCTTCTTGTCCTTCTTAGGCCGAATGGTTTCGGTGCTCGGTTTCGTGCGTAAGCTGGTAGTAGACCCTTGAACTCCCGATGTTGGGGCAAGCGCGGTTTGCGGGATCGACGTCACGGTCTCTGTCTCCACTGTCATGCTCTGCAAAGTGTCACCCGTCTTGGTTTTGGCGACGCCCAACTTGATATTTGTGCTCGACTGCTGCTTCGTCAAGGGTGGCGGCGCACTTGCTGCTCCGCTCCGACGGCTGGCTTTAATGCTACCGTTCTCGCTGCCGCTCTCGTTGTGGATGTTGGGCCCGTCCTTGGAAATTCCAAGGCCGAGATAGTCTCCTTGCGACGTTTCCGAAGCCATGCTATCGTCTAGCCTTTCCCCTACCGATCCCTCTGCCGCTCTCGGGGAATTCATTGGACTGACTTCTTGCACTGTCTCCAACGTCGAGGTGCTCCCGCCTCCTCCTCGAGCCGGCGTCCTCACGCCGGATGGGAGATGGGAGTCATCGGTATCGGTGTCTGATGGAACGTCGGGCGATGGCTGCGGCGGAGTGGCGCGCTGAAGATGGATCAACGGCGCCTCTAAGTCTGCTTTCCTAGGGACGCCGATATTCGGCTTGTGGAGGATCGGCGGTGGGGATCGTAACCTGGGGGAAATAGGCCATCTGGGCGATTCTCGCACATGGTCCATTGAGGTGGGCGACTTGACAGGCGCACCAACATTGGCGCTCGGGTCTGAGACAGACGGCAGGAGGGTAGGGGTATTGGCCGAAGTCAACGTCTTGGATGCTGGTGCTGTAGGCGTGCTGTTTTGTTTCGCCTGTCGCACGGGACTGAGATCTTGAAGGCTGTTTTTCCTCGATCGGATTCCGGCATTCCCTGATACGCTTCGTCTACTGGCAGTCCTCGACAATGGCCTAGTTGGAGAGGGCTCACGCGAAGGGAGCGGCGAGGCGGCGGCGGACGAGGATGCGGAAGTTGCCGTAGTCTGCGAAGCAAGCTTTGACGGCCATGAGTCGGTTCTAGGGGTTATTGTCGCCGAGCTCATAGACGAGTCGCGGGATAGCGTGGGATGCGCATGCTGGCTACCACTAGGGGCCTCCAAGGACGGGCCAGCCGGTATATTTGGTGACTTGTCCATGTCTGCATGCGTCGATTTGCGGGGGTTGATTTGCGGGAGAGGAATGGAGGCTCAATCGCTCCCACACATGCCACGCCTATTCTTAGCTGAGGCGAGAATGGCTGTGGCGCGGGACCCAGTGAATCATGATACCCGACGGGACATGCAATGGGAACTGTCGTGGACCGGGAAGCGGGACAATTAACGAGCGTTGTTAGGCAGTAAGGTAAGTGATGTGTTGGTGTGGTGTCGTCTCGGAGTGAGATTATTTCCAGCGCTCTAACTTTCTCCTTGGACGCTAATGTTAGTGCGCGCAAACGAAGGAGGCCAAGTGAGGAATTGTTGGTGGATCGTAAGTGGACGGATAGAGAGCCGGCGTTATCATGCGACTCTCGTTTGCTGAGGGCAAAGGCAGCCGGTTTGTTGACAGGAAACGGTTGGACAACGCGGGAAAGGGACTCGATGTGCGAAGAGTGGAGCGACAGGAGACGACTTCAACTTGCCTGATGATGTCGTTGGTCCAGCGGGTGCAAGGGTTGTGTGTGTGGTGTACTGACCGTAATTTACCCAACTTTCAGCAGGAAACGTTTAGTATTTTGGTGTAAGCACGTAAGTAACCGCACCAGAACAACAGAGGGGAAAGAGAGTGTGGAGGGAGAGATTTGCTGGCCACCACCGCTTTGAGGCTAGAACACCTGATAATTATCGCATTTGAGCAGGACTGTGCCGTACCAGGCTTTTGGGTGTCCATGGTAAACGGACCCCCTTAAACATTACAAACAGAGACGGCATCCAGAAGCCTTCTACCGGCTTTTCGTCCCCACTTGGGTCCACTGAGTTGAAGAACTCGCGTTCTTCACTTGTACGATACCCCATATCCTGCCCTATCCATAATTCAGAGGTATTCACCTGTCCTGTCCTTCAGGTGATTCCCTAGATCAGACATTTCCATACTGTACAGTACAATCCAAGATACTCCGTAGTCAATTGAGCATCTGTAACTCTCATGACGGCAGAGACGGCAAACCAGCAAGTGGGAGAGCGAGCGAGAGTGAGCAGGAGAAAACGCCCCGGTACCGTTCGCCTCTTTTTGGCCTGCGCCCCTGAGACGCGGCTACATACAATGTGAGTGGGGCAGGTACTTGTATGTACTGTACAAGGAGTGACGGGTGTTTGTCGTATTTTTTGGAGAGCAAAACACAGTACCCATAGGTATCGTCGCCCGACCGGATGTCCTTGGACACCTGGGACAGGCCCAGGGACTCAGGCCCTCAGGGAGACCCAATTCAGAATTTCCATGCTCCCCAGCCCATTCCGAAGAACCGGAACACTTGGAAAGTTTCATGTATCCTGCTGAGTGCTGATAGAGTCTTGAGTGCAGTTCAAGGCGATAACTTACCTTGATTGTGTCCGTTGCTGGGACACACTGCGAGGGACCGCCTGCAATCACAACAGTGTCGGCACTAACAACACGAAATTGACGTAATTGCCAGTCATGACTGTTGAATTTAATCTAAATTGACATCTTTTCACCTCTCCATTGGGATAGGGCTGACGATGACGGTGGCAGCTGTTGAGACAAGAGATCTTTTATCATTCCAGCGTCAGCTTTCCTCACCTTGATTTCGAGGTTCTGGAGAAAGCAGCGATGTGCACAGGTCATGGCTCGCCGTCCTTGCGGGCCGCAGTTGCATGCAAGTTTATGGAAACGGGCCGGCATGGATTTCTAGCTTGATCAAGATACGTACGGAGGGTCCTCCTTTCTTCGGGATTCCCGTCACCGATCGAACAACCACCCCAATTTCATGACGGCGAGAACGAATCCCGCCCAGTTGCAAGAGGTGGACGGTCAGCGACAGCAGCAATTGAATTGATCGCGCGTCGGTTTACTTCGGTTCTGAGGCAACATTCTAGACAATCAGACAACACAAGACATTGAATGAGACGGCGGATCGAAACTTTATCCTCTTTGGTCCCTGCGCTAGCACCACATGGCAGGGCGTTGAATTGTCTCTCATTACCCCACATGCAGCACGATGATCACCAACGGCGTCTAGATGGTGTAGGTTCAGTCTCATCATTTCTCGTCTGAACAAAATGGCCACTGGTCATCATCAGACGACGAGCAATTGCTGTGATCCAGAAGTAATTTACAGTCTAGTACAATACATACCGACCGTTACCAAGCCCCCCAAGGCTCCCAGGCATCAATATTCGATTCGTGGGGTTGCGGTGAGCCTCTTAGAGCCAGCCAAGTGGATGGTGGCGCGGCGGCACATGCAACGCCACAGCCAAATCGTCAGTCGTCACCGGCCCTCCTGTTTCCTGCTTCTCCCACTTCTGAACTCAAAACTGGTACTGGCGCCGCTTGCATTGAATGTGCTCAAGGTCCTGTGATACTTTGCTGCCTGTTGACTACAGTACGCTCAAGGGGTCTATTGATGTTCGGTCGTCGGAGAAATGCCGCATTGAAAGGCTCCAAGGGAACGGAATGCACGGGCGAGACGGGATTTCCGGCCGCGAGCCGACGGTTCCGGCAGGGGCCGAGTTTGCCGCCGTCAGGGGAAGTTGGGAACAGCCGTCCGCCAAGATTGCTAGTGCTCTGTCAGCATCTCAGGAACAGACTTGCGGCTTTTCCTCTTCTTTTCAATCTGTCAATTTATACGGAGGTACTTTTCATAGAATTTCATTTCTTGTCATTTTTATCCTCTCTATTCATTCTTTAACCTCAAGTGATGGCGGTGTCATGGCAACAACGGCGCGAGACCCCTACTCTAACCCTATGTGGCTTAGGCGGGAGGGTTGTGCAATGGCAGAGACAAATCTGGACCCTTTACGGAGTACCAACGGCAGTCTGACACGTGTGAATGTGGAACCAGTTCGTCGCGTCCACTGAGGCCCCGTGATGCGGGATTTCCTCCCTGAGACAATTCACATTGGTCGTAGCAACTCGTCCAGTAACGGTCCAGCACCTTGAGGTGTGCAAGAGAAACGACGGCCAGTCCACAGCAGGGAGAGGGAGATCCTGTCAGTAACTCAAGACACAGGGCTGATGATATGCAACAATCGCAACAAAGAGATATGCGCCTGCCCACGCCGGGTCAGTTCTTCTGGGAGTTGGGACGCATGTTCGACCATGCTTTGAGCATGCAGCCGAGTCACATCCCTAGTGTAGGTAGGTATTTCCAGTCTCTAATCATGCGCAGGAACCCGTAGCTATCACTGGCTGGCGCATCCCCTTTCGGCAACCAAGGGCTTGGTTTCCCTCTTGACTCTTGTTGAACACCCCCCCCCCCCCCCCCCCCCCCCCCCCCCCCCCCCCCCCCC